TTGTCCTTGTTGAACCGCATCAGATTTCTTTTGGCCCAATCCTTCACTCCCCTCCTGGCTCCTGCTCCAGCTCGGCTCCACTGGCTAGTGTGGGCTGTGGGGTCTCCTGGGGTGCGGGGGGGGGGGTCCATCAGCCCTGCCAGGGCTTGTCACCCTGGTCTGTGAGCAGCAGAAGCACAAGGGGGGACTGTGCCTGGGCCTGCTCCGGGGAGCAGGCAGCCGAGAGGAAGGCTCCTGGCTGCCTCTCCCTCCTCCTCCTCGCTGTGCAGGGCCAGGCACAGTCCAGCCCAGTTCGGGTGAGGATCCCCCACCCTGACGGGAGTGTGGCTCCCCCTACGGGGGATGGTGGGTAGATCTCCAGCGCCTGAGGGTCAGACAAGTGCCCGTCACACAGGAGTGCAAGGACCCCCTGGGGCAGGAGAGGAGGAGGATGGGGGGAGCCCGTGGCAGGAGGTGGTTCCATGCCCAGTGCACACCCAGCGGACAGGCTGGGCTGGGGAGAAGGCCCAGAGGAGATTCAGGCCATTGTGTCCCTGTTCCTGGTTCTCCCTTCCCTGGCCTTCCACCTCTCCGTTTTCCTGTCTGGATCTCACAAGCTTCATTTCCCACCATCACTCCCTGGGCCGGTGGTTCCTGTCACGGAGTATTGGGGGACTCAGGGCCCTGCACCCCCCGGCCTCCTGCGATTCACCATGACTCTCAGCCAGCCAGTAAAGCAGAAGGTTTATTTGGATGACAGGAATACAGTCCAAGACAGGTCTTGCAGGCACAGACAACAGGGCCCCCCTCAGTTAGGTCCAGCTTGGGGTCCAGGGTATCCCAGCCCACCCCCCTTTGGGGGGGGGGGTCAGAGCCATCTCTGCCTCCCAGCCATCTCTCCAGCCCACTTCCAGCACACTGCCTTCAGCGACCCCTCCCACAGCCTTTGTTCAGTTTCCCGGGCTAAGGAGTCACCTGGCCTTCAACCCCTTCCTGGGTTCTCATGTTACACACTCAGGTATGCGCCTTCGGGCAGACTCAGACTCCCATCCCCCAATGCAGACTATCCCAGTCACACTCCCCTGTCAGCATTCACACACCACAGTAAGAACAGTCCCAGTTCGTCACAGTTCCCTTCAGGGGGACTCTTCTGTGTGATATCCCGGAGCGCTCTCACCTGCTTCCATGCTTCCTCCCTCCAGCTCTCCTGATCTCCCCTCACGGGCCATTCCCTGCCTCTGCCCCTGTGCCCAGACCCACGGCTTCCCCTTCTCTCTCCTACTCAGGGGGCAGCGTCCCTTTTTTTGATTCCCTCCCTTTGGTTTCCTTCTCGTTGTGCTTTTGTTATCCTGTCTCTTAAGCCTCCTGTGTGACCCCTTCCCTCGGTACCCTTCTCCCAGCCCTCACCTGGCTTTCTCCCAGTCTGTTCTTCCTCCCCCTCACTCTCGTTCCTTCCCTTCCCCTTCTCCTCACTCCGTCTGTCTCTGCACCCCATTCGATGGCAGGGCTGCGCAGCGCCTGCGGTTGTTTATACTTGTAAGGCGTCTGGAACGGCTGGTGTGTGTCATTGTACAGGTGCTACCAGCTCAGGGTGTTTCAATCTCACTCCCCTCGCTCTCCCATCTGCAGATGGAGGGGATTTAAGTTCATGCCAAATCGCCCATTTTGAAGCTGGCCACATGACCCTGGAAACTCCAACGAGAATCCATCTCTTCCATGTTGTCCTGGAGAATCCCAGCTTCTCCCAGCTCGGCGTGCTTTGGAGAAAGATACGTTCGACCGTAACGTTTATTCCCATCCATTCCCTTGTGCTGATCTACCGGGCACTCAGGGCTGCAGACATAACTCTCCACCTCTACCTGATCCCCAACGACCACTCACTCAGGAAGGTAAAACCACAATCCCATTTATACGGTGTGCCCAACACCAAGAGTGCTGGGACACTGCACAACCACAGAGTGAGAATGAACCACATCAATACACCCAAACAGCCAAGCACATAGTGAAACGCCAGGCAGCACGGCATCGTTCAGAGAGGACAGGGCAGAGGCCTACACACTGACTGTCACTGAAATATGGGTCGCCTCGGCAGCCAGGTTTTCCTGTGTTTTTAATAGTGGTGCGTGATAGACTGGGGCACGTCCCCGGGGGAGAGAGTTGATTTCCTGAGGGATGCACAGCACTCGCTAACATGAGGCATGCGATTGGGACCCCAATGGATAGGGGGTCTCACAGCACAGATACATTATCTGTTGGGGGAAGCATCACGAGAACTATATTGTTGGTGTGACCAAGCTTCACGGGGCACCATATGCAGCAGCGGACAGGTAGGAATAGCTCAGGGCCGGGCTTGCCGTGGTGTGATAGCCACACCACTCAGCCACATAGTGATTCCTGAAGCTAAAGGCCAGGTCCCCAAGTACCCACTAGGAGGTGCTGTTCTTTCCAGCAGCCTCATTCCCCGCCCTGGGCTATTCCATGTAGAACTGAGCTTCCAAGCAATGAACAATCTTCTTTACAAAATGTCACCCTGAGGCACGGGAGAGTCCAGGATAAAATGAAAACTCTGAGCGAGGGGATGAGGGAATTAGGTTGGCAGCTAGAACTCAATATTAGCTACAGTGGCTGCGACCACATGATTAGTGTAAGAACCCCAGGAGACACCCCCACATTGCCTGTTCTCACTATGGAAGATACACACACATTAAAAGAACAGTGTTAAGGTTGCAAAGTCACTCACCCACTATTTGGAGAATGCCACAATTAAGATTATGGTTTGCAACCTTCCCTCTGCTCCCTTGTCTCTATGTATTGTGAGAGTCTTTCCTTACTTGATCACACCCTATTTTTAAGCAGAAGCAGAGGCCTCCATCTTTTCAGTGGTGATCAGGTTTGTCTGAGGAAACACTTCCTGAGAGTGAGGTCTGTTAGGCTCTCAAAGAGCTTCCCAGCAGGGAAATGGTGACAGTCCCATCACCTGCATTATTTTTGACTGGGCTGGACCGGATCCCAGCCGAACGTAGTGTAGGGAACATGCCTGCTTTGGCTGGGGGATGGCCAAGGTGACCACACAGGCCTTTTCCTGCTCCGACTCGAGATGCTCTGAGTGAAGACGGAGCTGGCTGTGGGTCAGAGGTTCCTGTTTGTATCTCTCAGAAATGACAATGTTTGAAATTTACAGGCCATTGAAGAAGAAGAAACCAAGTGGGAGTCAAAGCTCGTTCCCAAACCTCCTCAGACCAGTGCGCTGTACTTTGGATCTCAGTATGAGGTGTCTGGTACATCAGAGCTAAAGATAACACCTGACGTAAGTAGGATTGTCCTCTACTTCCACTGAGGCATCAAAACGAGCTGAACAATTCATTATTATTATGCATTAGTTGTATGGTGGTAGTGCCCAGGAGCCTCTTGTGCCAGGTGCTGTACAAACACAGAACAAAAAGATGGACCTGCCCCAAAGAGCTTCCAACCTAAGTATAAGCCAAGAGACCACAATGGACACAGCAGACAATGGGCATCGTTCACTCCTGCTCTTGGCGGAGGTGGGAGACTCTCATAAGTCATTTTATCTTTACTGCAGCACCTGGAGCTCTGCTATAGAAGCCCCGCAGACCAGCAGTCCTATATTGAGCTCTACATGACGGATATGGAGGAGGAGATCAAGCTTCACATGAAAGACAGAAAAGATGGGAAATTGGTTTGGAAGACGTTTGTGAGGCCAGGTAGGATCACACGTAAGACGTTGAAGCAGAACTTCTGGGCAGCTGGTCGTGGTGACTGAAGCTCATAGAATCGCTGAAATGTCGGGCTGGAAGGGACCTTGAGAGGCTATAAAGTGCATCCCCCTGTGCTGTGGCAGGACCAAGTAAACCTAGACCATCCCTGACAGGTGTTTGTCCAGCCTGTTCCTAACAGCCTCCCATGACGGGGATTCCACAACCTCCCAGGGAAGCCTATTCCGGAGCTTAGCTACCCTTAGAGTTAGAAAGCTTCTCCAAATATCTAACCTAAATCTCCCTTGTTGCAGATTAAGCCAATTACTTCTTGTCCTACCTTCAGTGGACATGGAGAACAATTGATCCCTGTCCTCGTTGTAACAGCCCTTCACATATTTGAAGACTATTATCAGGTTCCCCCCGTCAGTCTTCTTTTCTTATGACTAAACAGGCCCAGTTTTTTAACCTTCCCTCACAGGTCAAATTTTCTAAATCTTTTATCATTGTTGGTGCTCCCCTCTGGACTCTCTCCAATTTGCCCACATCTTTCTTCAAGTGTGGTGCCCAGAACTGGACACAGGGCTCCAGCTGAGGCCTCATCAGTGCCGAGTGGACTGGGGCAATTACCTTCCGTGTCTTATATACAACGTTCGTGCTAATACATCCCAGAACGACATTAGCCTTTTTCGCAACTGGCACTGCATCCCACTGTTGCCTCCTATTCAATTTGCGATCCACTATAACCCCAGATGCTTTTCGGCAGTGCTACACCTAGCCAGTTATCCCCCATTAGATAGGTCGCGTTTCATTTTTGCTTCCTACGTGGAGTACTTTGCACTTGTTTTTATTGAATTTCATTTGGTTGATTTCAGAGCAATTCTCCAATTTGTCAAAGTGGTTCTGAATTCTAAATCTGTCCTCCACAGTTCTTGCAACCCATCCCAGCTTGGTGACATCTGCAAATGTTCTGAGTATACTCTCCAATCCATTATACAAGGCATTAATGAAAATATTGACTAGTCCCATGACTGATGCCTGTATAACCCCACTAGATAGGCCCTCCCAGTTTGACAGCAAACCATTGATAACTACTCTTTGAGTGTCATCTTTCAACCAGTTGTGCACTCACTTTATAGTAATTTAATTTAGACCACATTTCCCTAATTTGCTTATGGGAATGTCATGAGGGACTGTGTTAAAAGCCTTATTAAAATCAAGATATAGCATATCTGCTGCTTTCCCTCTATCCCGTAAGTCAGTTACCCTGTCAAAGAAGGGAATTAGGTTGGTCTGGCAGGCTTTGTTCTTGGCAAACCCATGCTGGCTGTCCCTTATAACCCTATTATCCTCTAGGTGCAAACTGGTTGTTGAATCATGATAACTTCCCAGGTATCGAAGTTAAGCGTGTTGGGGGTACAGAGAAGCAGGAGATGTACATTCAATCAGGTGTCTCAGCTCTGCCATCTTCCTTATCCATGGCAAAAATCCTAATCCACTGAACAAAGTCCTGTGGTTTAAATGCACTTTTAGGACCTTTGATCATGGTTCCTCTGGAGAGTTCAGAAATTATCCTCAGGAAATTAACCAAGTATTTCAAGATTCCTTGTGAGGTGGAGAAACTCCAGTATAACTTTAGAGAAGCTGAGACGCCTGCTAGCAAAGCAGGAGAAGATCTCTGGGAATGCAGAGCTTCTCTGATTGCCCCTAGCCTCTGATGGTCTTTAATGTTGCTGGACCCTCCTGCTAATGAGAGAAGTGACAGGGTGTTCGACTGATCCCTTCCCTTTGTCTTTTAGGGGACGTTAAAATTCCTGCAGCATCCTCCCAAACACTCCCAGGTCAGTATTATTTTAAC